TCTTTGGTGCAGACTGAATTCTATCAGTCAGGTTGTAATGTGGCCACCATTCTAGGTAGCTCGCCATCACGGTGTACATTGTTTGTGATGATATTAGATGGTTGGAGGCAATCGGAAGGAAGCCTTGCACCTAGGTTTCCTGCTAGTTGGCACTCGTCAGCAAGGCGTATCTGCAACCTTGAAGGAACTCATGTCCCTTCTGAGATTCGAAGCCACGTCACCCAGTGCTGCAGTCACAGACGTTACCACTGAGCTATTCGGGCTCGCGATTGACCTCCTGTAGGACTGTGGTGGATATTTTGATTTGACACTAGTTACTAGTGTGATGCGTCTAGTCCTCTCTTTGGTGCAGACTGAATTCTATCAGTCAGGTTGTAATGTGGCCACCATTCTAGGTAGCTCGCCATCACGGTGTACATTGTTTGTGATGATATTAGATGGTTGGAGGCAATCGGAAGGAAGCCTTGCACCTAGGTTTCCTGCTAGTTGGCACTCGTCAGCAAGGCGTATCTGCAACCTTGAAGGAACTCATGTCCCTTCTGAGATTCGAACCCGCGTCACCAAGTGCTGCAGTCACAGACGTTACCACTGAGCTATTCGGGCTCGCGATTGACCTCCTGTAGGACTGTGGTGGATATTTTGATTTGACACTAGTTACTAGTGTGATGCGTCTAGTCCTCTCTTTGGTGCAGACTGAATTCTATCAGTCAGGTTGTAATGTGGCCACCATTCTAGGTAGCTCGCCATCACGGTGTACATTGTTTGTGATGATATTAGATGGTTGGAGGCAATCGGAAGGAAGCCTTGCACCTAGGTTTCCTGCTAGTTGGCACTCGTCAGCAAGGCGTATCTGCAACCTTGAAGGAACTCATGTCCCTTCTGAGATTCGAAGCCACGTCACCCAGTGCTGCAGTCACAGACGTTACCACTGAGCTATTCGGGCTCGCGATTGACCTCCTGTAGGACTGTGGTGGATATTTTGATTTGGCACTAGTTACTAGTGTGATGCGTCTAGTCCTCTCTTTGGTGCAGACTGAATTCTATCAGTCAGGTTGTAATGTGGCCACCATTCTAGGTAGCTCGCCATCACGGTGTACATTGTTTGTGATGATATTAGATGGTTGGAGGCAATCGGAAGGAAGCCTTGCACCTAGGTTTCCTGCTAGTTGGCACTCGTCAGCAAGGCGTATCTGCAACCTTGAAGGAACTCATGTCCCTTCTGAGATTCGAAGCCACGTCACCCAGTGCTGCAGTCACAGACGTTACCACTGAGCTATTCGGGCTCGCGATTGACCTCCTGTAGGACTGTGGTGGATATTTTGATTTGACACTAGTTACTAGTGTGATGCGTCTAGTCCTCTCTTTGGTGCAGACTGAATTCTATCAGTCAGGTTGTAATGTGGCCACCATTCTAGGTAGCTCGCCATCACGGTGTACATTGTTTGTGATGATATTAGATGGTTGGAGGCAATCGGAAGGAAGCCTTGCACCTAGGTTTCCTGCTAGTTGGCACTCGTCAGCAAGGCGTATCTGCAACCTTGAAGGAACTCATGTCCCTTCTGAGATTCGAAGCCACGTCACCCAGTGCTGCAGTCACAGACGTTACCACTGAGCTATTCGGGCTCGCGATTGACCTCCTGTAGGACTGTGGTGGATATTTTGATTTGGCACTAGTTACTAGTGTGATGCGTCTAGTCCTCTCTTTGGTGCAGACTGAATTCTATCAGTCAGGTTGTAATGTGGCCACCATTCTAGGTAGCTCGCCATCACGGTGTACATTGTTTGTGATGATATTAGATGGTTGGAGGCAATCGGAAGGAAGCCTTGCACCTAGGTTTCCTGCTAGTTGGCACTCGTCAGCAAGGCGTATCTGCAACCTTGAAGGAACTCATGTCCCTTCTGAGATTCGAAGCCACGTCACCCAGTGCTGCAGTCACAGACGTTACCACTGAGCTATTCGGGCTCGCGATTGACCTCCTGTAGGACTGTGGTGGATATTTTGATTTGGCACTAGTTACTAGTGTGATGCGTCTAGTCCTCTCTTTGGTGCAGACTGAATTCTATCAGTCAGGTTGTAATGTGGCCACCATTCTAGGTAGCTCGCCATCACGGTGTACATTGTTTGTGATGATATTAGATGGTTGGAGGCAATCGGAAGGAAGCCTTGCACCTAGGTTTCCTGCTAGTTGGCACTCGTCAGCAAGGCGTATCTGCAACCTTGAAGGAACTCATGTCCCTTCTGAGATTCGAAGCCACGTCACCCAGTGCTGCAGTCACAGACGTTACCACTGAGCTATTCGGGCTCGCGATTGACCTCCTGTAGGACTGTGGTGGATATTTTGATTTGACACTAGTTACTAGTGTGATGCGTCTAGTCCTCTCTTTGGTGCAGACTGAATTCTATCAGTCAGGTTGTAATGTGGCCACCATTCTAGGTAGCTCGCCATCACGGTGTACATTGTTTGTGATGATATTAGATGGTTGGAGGCAATCGGAAGGAAGCCTTGCACCTAGGTTTCCTGCTAGTTGGCACTCGTCAGCAAGGCGTATCTGCAACCTTGAAGGAACTCATGTCCCTTCTGAGATTCGAAGCCACGTCACCCAGTGCTGCAGTCACAGACGTTACCACTGAGCTATTCGGGCTCGCGATTGACCTCCTGTAGGACTGTGGTGGATATTTTGATTTGACACTAGTTACTAGTGTGATGCGTCTAGTCCTCTCTTTGGTGCAGACTGAATTCTATCAGTCAGGTTGTAATGTGGCCACCATTCTAGGTAGCTCGCCATCACGGTGTACATTGTTTGTGATGATATTAGATGGTTGGAGGCAATCGGAAGGAAGCCTTGCACCTAGGTTTCCTGCTAGTTGGCACTCGTCAGCAAGGCGTATCTGCAACCTTGAAGGAACTCATGTCCCTTCTGAGATTCGAAGCCACGTCACCCAGTGCTGCAGTCACAGACGTTACCACTGAGCTATTCGGGCTCGCGATTGACCTCCTGTAGGACTGTGGTGGATATTTTGATTTGACACTAGTTACTAGTGTGATGCGTCTAGTCCTCTCTTTGGTGCAGACTGAATTCTATCAGTCAGGTTGTAATGTGGCCACCATTCTAGGTAGCTCGCCATCACGGTGTACATTGTTTGTGATGATATTAGATGGTTGGAGGCAATCGGAAGGAAGCCTTGCACCTAGGTTTCCTGCTAGTTGGCACTCGTCAGCAAGGCGTATCTGCAACCTTGAAGGAACTCATGTCCCTTCTGAGATTCGAAGCCACGTCACCCAGTGCTGCAGTCACAGACGTTACCACTGAGCTATTCGGGCTCGCGATTGACCTCCTGTAGGACTGTGGTGGATATTTTGATTTGACACTAGTTACTAGTGTGATGCGTCTAGTCCTCTCTTTGGTGCAGACTGAATTCTATCAGTCAGGTTGTAATGTGGCCACCATTCTAGGTAGCTCGCCATCACGGTGTACATTGTTTGTGATGATATTAGATGGTTGGAGGCAATCGGAAGGAAGCCTTGCACCTAGGTTTCCTGCTAGTTGGCACTCGTCAGCAAGGCGTATCTGCAACCTTGAAGGAACTCATGTCCCTTCTGAGATTCGAAGCCACGTCACCCAGTGCTGCAGTCACAGACGTTACCACTGAGCTATTCGGGCTCGCGATTGACCTCCTGTAGGACTGTGGTGGATATTTTGATTTGACACTAGTTACTAGTGTGATGCGTCTAGTCCTCTCTTTGGTGCAGACTGAATTCTATCAGTCAGGTTGTAATGTGGCCACCATTCTAGGTAGCTCGCCATCACGGTGTACATTGTTTGTGATGATATTAGATGGTTGGAGGCAATCGGAAGGAAGCCTTGCACCTAGGTTTCCTGCTAGTTGGCACTCGTCAGCAAGGCGTATCTGCAACCTTGAAGGAACTCATGTCCCTTCTGAGATTCGAAGCCACGTCACCCAGTGCTGCAGTCACAGACGTTACCACTGAGCTATTCGGGCTCGCGATTGATCTCCTGTAGGACTGTGGTGGATATTTTGATTTGACACTAGTTACTAGTGTGATGCGTCTAGTCCTCTCTTTGGTGCAGACTGAATTCTATCAGTCAGGTTGTAATGTGGCCACCATTCTAGGTAGCTCGCCATCACGGTGTACATTGTTTGTGATGATATTAGATGGTTGGAGGCAATCGGAAGGAAGCCTTGCACCTAGGTTTCCTGCTAGTTGGCACTCGTCAGCAAGGCGTATCTGCAACCTTGAAGGAACTCATGTCCCTTCTGAGATTCGAAGCCACGTCACCCAGTGCTGCAGTCACAGACGTTACCACTGAGCTATTCGGGCTCGCGATTGACCTCCTGTAGGACTGTGGTGGATATTTTGATTTGACACTAGTTACTAGTGTGATGCGTCTAGTCCTCTCTTTGGTGCAGACTGAATTCTATCAGTCAGGTTGTAATGTGGCCACCATTCTAGGTAGCTCGCCATCACGGTGTACATTGTTTGTGATGATATTAGATGGTTGGAGGCAATCGGAAGGAAGCCTTGCACCTAGGTTTCCTGCTAGTTGGCACTCGTCAGCAAGGCGTATCTGCAACCTTGAAGGAACTCATGTCCCTTCTGGGATTCGAACCCGCGTGATTTATTCACACTCATCAACCGTTTTAATAATAATATGTTCCTCATCGAGATATTCATCCGAGCATGTTGCTCTGTAATCCAAGCACTTTATGAGATATCGTTTTTGTTTCAACGGATGAAGCTGAGTTTTTAGTTTACTGACCGGTTGATGTAGGTTTTCTATATACACGTCCTCATTTTTCATTATCAAAAATGTATTATCCAAGTACCAACGATAGAATTCACGTTCATCAATAACACGTTTCGAAGGCCATTTTCTACTTTCGCAAGGAAATTTTCGGCTATTTAAGCATCTTTTGTGAACTGTAATTCCATTGATCTTACTTTACAAATCGATATAATTTAAAAAGCACTAATATTTTTATTGACTTCTATTTTGGAATATTCTACGTATATAAGCATATATATAATTGTAGAGTCAGAAGATGAAATTATCGAAAGGGATATTCTTTGGTCAATTATTTTGTGTTTTATATATGTCTGAATGAATTTTTTCGCTATACTTAAATCTGAATATTTTGTTGTGATAATAGGACATTTTTGCCTCGTTTCCAGGTTTTGTGTGCTCCAGTGTGTGTCATAATCATATTGTGCTGTTTCCTGTTTTACAGCTGAAACTGTTTCCAAAGCTCCACTTGTATATTAAAAATCACGGAGACAAAAACAAAAGTGAAGTAACATAACCAGCTAAACGAGAATCTGTTTCTTCACCTATTGAAATGTAAAAAAAAGAACTCTTTCTTTTAAGGGGTTTGAGAAAACCACTTGTTTGAATTTAATTGTCAAAAAATGAACCAATAGCTATTCATTACTCGTACATATGTATATATATATATATATATTTGAGTACATTAAGTAAGGAATCATTCAAGATGCGATTATCATTATGATCATCAAGTAATAACACAAAAGAGAAAAAATAATAGTAATAAAGTTACATAAAAAATGAAAAGTAGACGAAAGTGAAACAGAAAGAAAGAAGAAAGGAAGAAAACAAAACATGAGAATTTTCTTTAAGTTTTTTTATTTTGTTTCTCATAATTCTTGTCATCCTATAATGACGATGAGAGTATTCATTTATTTTATTATTTATTGACTTGAAGTAGGGGACACTGTATTGTCTGGGATATCAGTCTGATTTAATTCAGCATTAGAATTATCTGCAGCCACTATGTCTCCACCGAATTGTTATACATATTGATTAATCCATTAGATAAATCTAGATAAATTGAAAGGAGAAGTTACGGGAAGGCATGTTATGCATGAAGGAAGAATTATTTCATATATATGTAAAACTTGGGTATTGTGGTGGTATGTAATTCCGTATTAATTTGTTTATTAGATGGATATACCACACACACACAGAGTGAAAGAGTATTATTTACTGAATGACAAAATTTCGGAAACAGTTTATTATTATTATTATCATCCTCATAGTTGATATGATTATGAATAACAAATTGTGTTCAAAACGTCATCCAATACGTGACACTCTTTCACTGTGTGATATATCAATCTAATAAACAAATTTATGTGGAAGAAGAATAATTTCGTCTTTTCAACTTTTGAAGTTAATAAGATTAAAAGCACTAAACGGAAAAAGGATCCATACTTATTGAAATTTATGGGCAGTGTGTTCGTGTCATTCATGAAAGTTTTGTTATTTCAGAAACAGAGATGAGTCGGATTCAAATTGAAGAGAAGAATGACACTTTTTTTTAGCATTGTTACTTTTGATTACTAAAAAAGTCAAACTTATTTCCATGATTCCTTATCAAGCATTAAGACTGGCATATCAATAAGTCTTATGTAATATTTCAAATAAACTGCTCATTATGATGTATGGAATATCTTCCTTATTATCAATGACTGTTTGATAAAAAGTGATGATTAAAAATAAAACAAACTCAGACAGAGAATAACTGAAATAAAATTTATATTAAATTACTTGATAATAACTGTGATTCAGTTTTACTTCACGTTTATTGATTTCAAACCTATTAACGAATGTTTTCAGAATTCATTTTCGTAAAGGTTAAAGAGTGTCCGGCAGTAAGTGAATACTCTTTCTCAAAATCTAATTGAAGTAAAAGTGAAAATGAATTTGAAAAGCATTGGGCATGGTTAAATGCCAATTGAAATCTCTGTGTACGTATCTCAATCACATATAAATTTAACGGAGAGAAGACCAGTAGTTCAGCGAAGAGTCCCTTTTCGACGAATTCATTTCTACAGCTGTACAATCGCAAATATATATGGTTATTTTGTATGTGTGTGTACATTAACTTTGGCAAACAAAATACAATTATGAAGTTTTTGGTGGAGTTAAGTAATACAAAAAGCGTTCACAGGAATTGGATGTTGATATAAGAGGGTAGTAATAAGAGTGATGAGTTGTCACAAACGATTGTTAAAAAAGAGTTACGCAATAACATGAGTAGTTTGATGAAAGAATTGTGCTCAATTTAGCATAGTGTTGTTTATTACAGATTAAAAAGTGTCGGATTTTCTGGCAGATGAAGTTTATATATAAACACTGTTAAGAATAAATCCAACTTGACGTCTACCTTTAAATGTATACAACTTAAGGGTATTTATACAATAGAAAGGCAATTAAATAAACCACTATCATCGTTATCAGTGAAAAATAAATGCAACGCTAATGTAGATTCCACCAAGAATCAACATCAATTAGAGAATCATTGGAAACCATGAAACACTGGATAACTGTTTCCTACTATCTTAGGACTCTTTAGAAGTCTGCCACTATGATCTTACCAGGAGCCAGATCCAGGACTCTACATTACGAGTTGAGCATAGTTATTATTCCAAAACTGCGTTATAATCCAGTGATACATGAATTTCAACTTTGATCAGCTTATAAATGCAGTGCAGCTGTCAACTAGTATCATCGTTGAGTATGCACTTCACGTATGACATCGGTCATGACTTCTCAGTAGAACTTCAGGACATCTATCTTGAAGTTCATCAACAATGACTAAGAGATTATTATTGGCATTTTGGGTCTATAGGAATTTGATTAATTTCAATCTAGATTTCATAACAAACGGGCATTGGTTAGAAAATCAGTGAATACTGAAATATGACAACCTACAGTTTGCATAACAAAAATGAAATAAGCTCACTTTTTGAATGACTTTTATGAGTAAAAGAGGCTAATGGATCAGTAAATGATTGATTTGACTCATTTATTTCAGATTCAGTATTTAAATCATTGACTGATGACATTGATGCAGGAATTTCTTCTGCTTCCAGTAGATTAGTCACATCTGAATTATTATGACGATAACAATGTTGATATATACCTCCTTTTAAAGTTGGCATTAAAGCAGAATTTATCGTCTTCTTAGTAAGAACTGCTTTACTATCAATATTCATATGATTAGTATTGTTTTGTTTATTCTTCTGCTGCTTATTAAAATATTTTGGTTGTATACATCTTGTTCCATACGGATTCATATTGACATTTTGTTCATTATCATCATGACAATTAATAGGATTTATCATTGAACTACTGGATAGTGGCGGCCACAGAATAGTTTGACTATCCCCATAACCTGATGTTAGCCTATGACTACCATCAGTATCGTCATTTCCACTGCTAATTCCTCCAAAGTTATATCTTTTGCGTGGAATAATTGGTACAAACCAACGACGCAAAGTGTTGGTAGTTGTGGTCTTCATCTGACTTACTGATGTAGTGAATCGATAATTTGAGTGTCTGACTATTTGTGCGCTTCTATGGTTTGATCGAATCCATAAAACAAGCAGTAAAATTAGACCGAATAAAATTAGGACAACTGAAATAATTGATGCAGTTGAATTATGCGAAGAGGACTAAAACAAATAAAATTTCATATTAAGTAATTCAATGAGATTAAAATATTCAGTTTAATTTTCAAATGATATAATTGTGGTGTTACTTTAATTTTGAATGTTTAGTCACGAAATACCAGTGAACATTACAAAGTTTGAGGAAATGCTATGTCCTTAAAACTGTTTTTACTGTGAACTGATATCAGGGAGATATAGTTTCATACGGTAAAGAAGAAGAAGAAGAAGTGGACATCTATTTCAATCTACTTGAAAACTAGTCGATAGCAGATTCTCGTAAAAAGATTAACGAAACTTTTAGGACAAATGTCATTCAGCATTAGCAGATTATACATATTCGATAGTTTTCCTCTAAAAGGTGATTTTTCGACTGAATACTTTCATATCATTCATTTTCTAATGTACTAGTCAACAGTTTACTTTATAATTAACTCAATATTAGTAGATATTCATTAACTATCAAGTTAATGCTGCTTAGTACATCGAAATATACCACAAAGCCATGCTTTATAAATGCTTAAACTCTTAAAACACCAAGAAAAACTACAGACATAAGATAATTCATTTCTCCTGTTTGATAATTCAACACTATACTTGATACATTACACCTCTGAACAATTAGAATCAAGAATGACTTTTTGTTGAATTACAAACAACAACAAAAAATAGTCTGATGAGTACAACAAAGTTACATTCAACTTAACATTACTACTGTTCAGCATAAAAATTCAGAAATATAAATTACCTCATCATCAACTTCATGAGGACAAGCCCTTAGTAGACCTAAAATTGTTTGATTCCATATTGGAGGTTGCCAACCTCCTACACAACGATCACCTGGTATTAGACGATAGCCTAAACGATGAATTGTTTGACGTTGTTTCTTTGGCAATGTGCAAGGATCTAATGTTGGAATATATGGATTTCTTATGCAGTGCAATGATCCAGGTTGTCGATAAAAACCATATTCACTGAGGAGAAAAGCAAAATAATAACAATGGTATAATAATAGTCGTATATAGTATGTAAAGATACATTTACGAAATATATAATTATGAGAGGAATTAAAAAACCACTACTATGTATATTCACCTGACCGATAGCTGCTACCTTGACGTGGTGGTTGGGCTTGCATATCGCAATGACCCAACGAGCTACACTGGCTGGAACTTATGTTTCTGTATGTCCTACCATGCCAGAAAGGTTGTTTGGATAGCGGTTAGACAAAAAGCAGCTACCCAATCCAATACTATGACTCAAACAAACTCACAAAATATCATGCCAGATCGGTCGGGGTCCGGATTAACAACGACCGCGTTTCCTGCTGCTGTGTCACAGGGCAGAAGAGATAAATGTGCTTCTGAGACACATCAAATATGAAAAAACAAACAAAAACAGGCCGCGTGTGACCGGCCTCAAGCAGTTGTCCCCTGGGCTCTGCAGTCACGCAACACTAATCTTTTCTCTCTTCCCTTCTCAGGCGTGAGGCTAGCAACCCCACCCTGTAAACAAAGTTGCTACAGAAACTTCAGCACGACGAATCTCCTTGCACCAAAAGAAGAAGTCTGTGTGGGGACATGGAATGTCCGCACCATGTACGAGATTGGCAAAGCTGCCCAGATCGCGAACGAAATGAAAAGATACGGAATTCAAGTACTGGGAATATGTGAAAGCAGATGGAACAGGAATGGACTCACCAAATTTTCAACGGGTGAGTCAGTGATCTACTCCGGTCACCCAGAGGATAACCATATGCACACCGATGGCGTGGCTATCATGATGTCACCAATGGCAACGAAGGCCCTCATGCAATGGGAGGCGATCTCGCCCAGGATAATGACCGCCAGAGTCAACTCCAAAGGAAGGAAAGTGTCAATTATACAATGTTATGCACCCACAAACAACGCAGACCTCGAAAAGAAAGAAGAATTCTACAGACAAATACAGGCAACAATGGACAATACTCCAGTCGGCGACATTAAAATACTAATGGGAGACAAGGACGTCAAACTGGGATCGGACATCACATGAAGGGAACTCATCATGGGTAAAGAAGCTCTCGGAGAAATGAATGAAAACGGAGAACTCTTCAATGAACTAGTGATTGGTGGCAGCGTATACAAACACAAGGATATCAACAAGGCTACATGGGTGTCACCAGATGGGCGAACCAAAAACCAAATTGATTTCATCTCAATCTCAAGGAAGTGAAGGCGCAGCCTACTGGACACAAAAGTAAGAAGAGGAGCAGACGTTGGCTCAGACCACTACCTCGTACAAGAGACAATCCAAATCAAATTAAAAGCTTTCAGAGAAACAGGAGCTGCAGAAAGACCACAAGTCAAGTTCAACACTCAAAAACTGAAGGACCAGGACACAAAGGACATCTTCACTGCAAGCATAAAATACAAAGCCGAGATGCAAATCAACACTAGAGAAGAGGTCAGCGTCAAAAAGCACTGGAACAACTTGAAAACAGTGTGGAGTCAAACCTGCATGGAAGTTCTAGGCAGAAAGAAGAGACAGGACAAACAGTGGCTTACTACGGACACTTGGAGACTGATAGAAGAGAGAGGGATGGTGAAACAAAAGATTCTCCAGTGCACCGACGAACAACAAAAACAGGATTTGAATGCAAGCTACAATACACTGAACAAAAGAGTAAAGAAGAGTGCCAGAGAAGACAAAAGAAAGTATTATGAAGCCGTAGCAAGTGAAGCAGAACAAGCAGCAAGCAAAGGAGACCTCGCAACACTCTACCAAACAACTAGGTACCTATCGGGCCAAAGTTTGACACAAATTAAGGCGGTGAAGGATGACAATGGAAAGTCACTCAACAAAGAAGTGGAGCAAAGGAAACACTGGGCTGAACACTTCAAAAGACTCCTAAATCGACCGCCACCTACAATGCGCCCAACAATACCAACAACGGAGACAGAGCTACCAGTGAACACCAACCCCCCGACGAAATCAGAAGTCCTGAAGGCAGTCAAGATGCTGAAAGCTGGAAAAGCAGCAGGACCAGATGGAATCCCTGCAGAAGCATTGAAAATGAACCCAGAGACAACAGCGGACTTGATGACGCCACTACTGGAGAAGGTGTGGAAAGAAGGCAAGCTACCCGAGGATTGGAAGAAAGCATACTTATTCAAATTACCCAAGAAAGGAGACCTAAGTCAATGCAAGAACTGGCGCGGAATTATGCTCCTGTCCATCCCAAGCGAAATACTAAGCCACATCATGCTGGAGAAAATCAAACATGCCCTAGATGAAAAACTTCGACCGGAACATGCTGGATTCAGAAGAAACAAGTCATGCATTGATCAGATCGCTACATTACGGATCATCATTGAACAAAGCTTGAAATGGCAGTCCCCTCTCTATCTCAACTTCATCGACTTTGAAAAGGCATTCCACAGTGTCAATCGAGAGGTGATTTGAAAACTACTTCGCTACTACGGTGTGCCACCGGCAATTATACATCTCATCCAACAGCTGTACGACAATGCTGCATGCCAAGTAATCCACAACGGGAAACTTACGGAATCCTTCGAAGTGAGGACAGGAGTAAGACTAGGCTGCCTACTATCGCCAATGATTTTCCTGATTGCAGTAGACTGGATAATGCGACAAACAGTGGGCAATGAGGAAACAGGCATAAAATGGACTCACACAAAAAATTTGGAGGATCTGGACTTCGCCGATGACATATGTCTGATTTACCACAAACTGGAAGATATGCAAGTGAAAAGCAACAAGTTGGCAGGAGAAGCATCAAAGATAGGACTTCAGGTGAACATAGAGAAAATAGAGGTAATGAAGATTCCTGGACAATAACAACAATAACAGAAAACGATCAGCATAAATGGGAGGAACCTGAAAGAAACAACCTCTTTTACCTACCTGGGAAGCATCGTCTCAACTACAGGCGGAACTGACGAGGATATCAAAGCAAGCATAGAGAAAGCAAGACCAGCTTTCACTACTCTCAAGCCTGTGTGGAGGTCAACAGCACTCAGCATCAAAAACAAGATCCGGATTTTCAACTCCAATGTGAAGTCAGTGCTACTATACGGATCAGAGACTTGCACTGCGCGTCAAAAAGATCATCTCAAACAAACTACAGACCTTCATTAACAGTTGTCTTCGCTCAATACTCAAGATCAGATGGCTGGCCAGAAAAGATCAGCAACAGAGATCTCTGGTAATGAGCGAACCAACCAGGAACCGATTATGAAACAAATAGGCAGGAAGAAATAGAGATGCATTGGCCATACTATGAGGAAACCATCAAGTGACATCACCAGACAAGCCCTTGAGTGGAAACCGAAAGGGAAGCGGCGAGTTGGTCGTCCAAGGGTGACTTGGAGGAGGTCATGTGAAGAGTAGATGAAAACGTGTGGGCAGACTTGGAGCCAGGTGAAGACTCTAGCAGAGAACCGAACGCAATGGAGACGCACGGCTGAAGCCCTATGTTCCTCTAGGAATTAAAGGAAACAATAATAATAATGTATATTCAACGAATTATATATATATATATATATATATATATATATATATATATGACTTCAGATGAAACGAGTTAATACTAACTGAAGTGTTTTATAAATATTAGTTAATACAACGCAAGTAGAAACACAAATCGGATCAATGGAAAAAAAGCAAGAAGTTCAGTGTGGGGAAATATTTTTCAGAGATTTCATTATCAGAGGTCATACAATCTCAATTTATGAATTTTTGTTCCACAATACCTGACACCTACAAACATTAATTAAATGAGCTTGACAATAAATATCAAGCTAAACAGAGGTTAAAATTTTTGATGAATATGATCTAAAAATGAACGATAATCCCAAAAACAATACAGCAACCAAAAGAATTTATAGATTTAGAAATAAAGGTATATTATATATAAATGACATTACTACCTGAGAGATTGAAGAGAATATGAAAACACAACCCTAATGCTAAACAAAGAAGAGTCTAGAAGCAAACGGGCAGATGAAGAATCAACATTTAAAGTCATCAGTCTTAATTCAAGATAGAGACGAAGATCGAACAAGTTTATCTCTGCCTACATACCTCCAGTTCCTTTATGCATATGGTAAGTCCTCAGTGTAGTGAAATCACAGATTTGCCATTTTCGAAAGTTTCTTTTCGTTTCAAAGATTACTTTAAACGCCTATCGAATTGTAGTACTGTGATTAATGTCTGCAAACTCTTACATCAAAGTAAAAATTCCAAAAACCGGTGTATTATAAAACTAAGATTTCAGAGAAGAAAATTCATATATGGAAAAGTAATTGTTAAAGAAACAAATAAAAGCTTAGATTACCATTCATAATCAGCTTGAGTACATGGACAAAATTCCACTTGTATACGAGTTTCCACTCCATATTCATTTACACAACTAAAAAAGAAAACAACAACGCGGAAACAGAGAATCTGAATGAGCTACAATTGAAGTTATTTGTCTTCTCAATAAATCACTGTCTGAACAAAAATTATATATTTAAGTGCATAATATACCAAGAAACAGCATGAAAATAGCTTCAAAATGTGCTCACATCAAACATAGAAATACTGGAAAAAAAGATAGGCATAAATGTTTCACTTTGGGCTGAAAACTACAGGTTAAAAAAGAAATACCGACAACTTCATGCGGAATCGAGCCGTGAATTTGATGAAGGTGATATCAATGTACACTGAACAACAGTCATCCGTGTTGATTCAAACTAATAACCAACTCAGCCGAGAAATCCTATCCCTTATGGCATTTAATTTCCAGTGATGGATAAATTGAACGCTATAGATATAAATTGTAGACAACAATCGCTTGGTATGTCACCAAATAAAGCTCATAATATTTAGTTTATCAATCACCACTAATTAAATTCCCTAGAGAGAAGTATCGTAAATAAATTTTTCATCTTTCAGCTTAAATTTTTTAATTTATTATTAATAGAATAATTCATGACCTCAATATAATAATGCGTCTGCCTAACCTGTATACTTGTGGAAAGGCGTAAGTAACTGCTTCACGCTTTTGCTTACGTATATCTTATACCTGTAAAGACTAACGTTTAGTTCCCGATATCGGATACAGTAAATACTACAAGCCTGAGTAAATGCAAAATCCTGGGATATTCTACCTACATTTAATGAATTACGTGCATAGTTGGTCATTAATAGACGACTGTATATCACTAGTGTGCATCAATAACTAAAAGAAGAGAAAATTATGAAAGTGGTGTAGTTCTTTGAACAGCAGCTACAGTTTGAGGCTTCGTTGGAGGTTCCTTACAAGATCGTATTTCTTGTCGAAAAGTTGAATTTGACAGACGCCATATTCTGTCCATTAGACTGACACTAGGCTATTCAAACACAATAGAATAAATGTATTCAAATTCTAGTTAGATGAAAATCCTCTTTGTCTCATTAGCTTAGCAATATGCTCCTTCCAGCTGTTCATCTGTTACTCGTTGCCTACTGGTGCTGTCTGTGAAATAAGCCTATGTGCATACTAGTGAATGTTAAAAAAATTGATAAATTCAAAAGAAAAGCGTGTTTTATGTTAGCTGTTAAACAACGGTTATCCATTTTATGCAAATACATTAAGAATGTGCAAAGCCTGAGAATTTGGGTGTTCTTAGCAAATTACAGACAAATGTGAGAATAAACAATTGCCACACAAAAAGTAACTACCAGTAATTGACACTTATCCTCATCTATAATATGTAATAAATAGAAGTCATTTAAAAGAAGCAAGTTTTTATTTTTTAAAAATTAGGCCTATAACATAGATATAATCTTTATTTCCACTAAATTTAGGTTACATTTTAGTGACTACTGAAAAATAATAGATATGAGGTAGGTGTATCCACTATTCATGAATGTAAAACTATACAACCAGTTCATGCATATACACATGGATTTAATAAACAAAACCATATCAATTAATCTACATTAACCAGAAAATTATTCAAGTTAAACAATAAGCTGATAAGATAACAAGAAGAACTTATTGAGTATAAAATAGAATGCAATTCGATATTACGCATTTTTGTTGAATAAAGCAAACAATGAGACAGCATCTAATTGCTGGATGACATTTCTGGGCAAATTTTATTATCTCTTCTCATATCAGAATATCTTCAATTGTTTATTTTAGTACTATAATTATTTCCTTGCAAATGATTTCCATGACGATAGAATTTTTCATATTCCTGAAACCTTCACATATTTTAACTTCTATTTTTTTCTCCTAATCATTTAACTTTCAGTCATATCATATACAAATGAACAATAATTATTTCGTAATTATTCCTGTCTTCTAACCGACTAGTACACTGACAAGTAAGTATTAAGCGCTCTTTTCTAGTTGAGGTAATGTTAACGTTAGTTATGTGTTTACCTGAATATGGGATTTTTAGGCTGTTAACTGACGATGGCACATACCATAGAATAAAATGCCCCCTTTGTGTCCTACAACTACCATCCAGTCAACAAATCTATAACATGAATCCCACTTCCCCCATTTCATAACACAGACTATTTTGCGTGAATGCATTCAAGAAGCTGTAGAAATACGATTATTAGAACAAGACATATAAGCGAACAATGCTGTTGTTTTCAATTAGATCTTCTTCAGGCTTTACTCTAATTTACATAGATTTATATATAAAATTTTAACCAATGACGGTGATTTTGGGAATTTAATAATAATAATAATAATAATAATAATAATAATAATAATGTGGTAAATGTTTGGAACGAAATTAATAACGATGATTATAATGATAACAAAATATTGATAATAAATATTATAAAAGTACGAAGGAGATGGAAAATAAGAAAGGGTGGGAGGGCTTTGAATAGAATTCACCTACGCCAAGGGAGAGACAAAGGTAGAACAAACTTCTTTTGTATGCAAAGACTAGGATTGTTCTCTCGAATTCCCATAGCTTCGGCTAGGTGTAAAAGACGGGTTCTGATTCCGTTCGAAAGACTCAATGGAATACGATAGATAACTTTGAAAGCACTATTTTTGTCCACTTGGTGACCGCTGTCAATCAAATGAGCCAAAATAGAACTTCGTATGGATTTTATTTGACCTTTTCCGAACCATGAAGGAAGATGCTCATTAATGCGTTTGTTAAGCCGTCTAGTTGTTCTCCCTATATAGCTTTCTCCACAGGAGCAACTAAATTTATAGATACACATCGAAGTGGCACAGCTAGATAGCTTATCATTCACTTGAGCAATCAAAATCGGTCGGCTGGGGAATGACAAACAAAGGGTGGCGGCAGTATAAGTCCGTTTTATCGCTCTCGATAATCTCAGATGTAAGACTTCACTAGCCACGTCCCCATTAAACTGCAGTTTCATGAACAGTTCTTTCTTTATTGTACCTGGTATTCATGTGTCTCCTAACAAATCTACTAGGATAACCCATTTGGACCAGCGTATTTTGGACATATCCTAGCTCATTTTCTAGGGAGTCATCTGTACAGATATGTCTTGCTCTATTCGTGAGGCATCTGACCAAATTGATTTTATATCGGATTGGTACAAAACTGAGGAAATGTGTATATTGTCCTACAGATGTAGGTTTTCTATAGACATCTCTCTTGAGTGAACCATCCTCTCTTTTGCTCAATTGGACGTCAAGGAAATGTAGTCTACCATCATGTTCTTCTTCACAAGTGAAGATGAGCGATGGATGTGCATCATTAAACTTTTTTAACATTTCATTCTTGTCAGTTTTTACATCAACAATAATCGACGTATCATCAACATAACGAAAATAACGAAAAAAAGCTCTATTATTTGTCTCAATGGACCATTTTCAATCTTGGCAAGAGAGAAATCGGCCCCAATGGAGAACCCATGGCAATACCGTCGATTTGCCTGTACTAAAGGTTGCTGAATATGAAATGCACATTCATAGTACATCTTAAAAGCAACTCTTTCAGACTAATAACTGGAATTCCGATGTCGATATGTTTTTCTAGTATCTGTTGGCATATGAATTCCACAGTCTCCATAAGTGGTACATTGGTAACCACTGATGCTACATCTAAGAAAAACATTTGCTTCCCATTTACATTGATATCATCCACGTTAGCAATAAATTCAAAAACGTCTTTAACACTATGATTTACTTCCATCTTGTGTAGCGGTTGGAGGAGTTCACCTAGCCACTTTGCGACTCCATGAAGAGTCCTTCTCCATCACCTATCAGGTACGAAACAAATTACCAAAAACATCTAGGTACTGCACACTTCAAACAGTGATTCACCTGTAACAATCAGTGCTTTGTGTGCAGAAGAACCAAGCTCAGCCACTACTACAGCCCTGACCTTCAGTGGAAACTCTAAATTCATGAATTTGTATTATTATCTTTCCTAATTTCTCTGATATTCAGTATATTGTTATGTTGATGCTATCGAACTGTAATCCATTGATATTATTAATTCGATGTTATGCAAATAACTTTAATGTTGTTAATAGCACTAATTCATTCATTATTACGTATATATAACTGTGGAAGCTGATGATGATGAACTTATCGAAAAGAATATTCTTTGTTCAGTAACCATTTAATGGGCATTTTTAATCAGTTAAAATTAACACCGTTAACAGCACTAACAAGTAGTAAACAAAATGAATAAATATATACAGCAGTTAATAATAGACTATCAACAAGATATTCATAACAAAATTTCGGAAATATGCGTCTTTATTTTCTTGTTTTAATGCGATAAGGGGTAAAAGTTGTTTCAGATACTTATATAAGGGACGCATGGACTTGAAACTCATCACTGCGAGTTCGCTTGATACACATCGAAAACACCAAACATCATTTCAAGGGGGGTATTTTTATGGGACAACATTTAGAAGTTAACACCGAAAAGAGTGTATCGCCGTTTTGTGTCAATCATTATAGTGACTACATTGCCTGTTTTGATTGACAGAGCTTCATCACTTCTTAGAAAGAGACATTTGGTTCATTCATCGTATGACTACTACATTTATTATTTTTTTTATAGTGTAACAAATGAGTTACTTTTACAGATAAAATTTGAACGCAACCATATCATTTTAATATGCTCAACAATGACATATGCGCTATGATTTGATGGAAGTTAAACAGAAAGGATATCCATCCTGTTTCACAGGTTCTCATGAGCTGCAAACTAACTGAAATTACAATGGTTATAGATAATGACAATTCATACTTCAATGTTTGAAAGATAATCGAGAAAACATGATAAGATGAACGTATCCGGAATATAAGCATTACAGTTTTCAGTTTAAGTTACCATCAATTTATATGCAATCAAACTATGAAAAAAAAGGGGGGTGAAAAAGGACAGAAAACAGAAAAATCTAATAAACAGTGTTAGC